ATTGTGTATACCAAGGCACCAAATACGACTCTCGATGTTGCCATTTTGCCGAAGTGCAAAGCTCCAGCTGCCACTTCATTTACTGAGGACTATACAGACATGTTGGCGGAAATTAGGCAACAAATTCTGAAGTCAAATCAGAAGTACAAGGAGACTATTGATCGTCGCCGCAGGCAGCGGCTTTTCAATGTAGGAGATTTGGTCATGGTCCGTCTGCGAAAGGAGCGCTATCCGCCGGGAACTCATTCGAAGCTGATGCGTCGAAAATTTGGTCCAGTACCTATCACTGCTAAAATCAATGATAATGCCTACATCGTCGCCTTACCAGCAGATTTGAACATGTCTACAACATTTAATGTTTCGGACATAACTGCCTATTCACCTCCTGATGATGCAATCATATACGTTAGCTCGTCGGAGTCGAGCTCTTCTGAAGCGGGGGAAGACTGATGCAGTGCATTATAGCGTATGAGGATACGCGAGACACCATACGCTCCCCAACGGTTTTGCTGACAGCCACGATGCCCTTTTCCATTTCTAGTTTTCACGTACCCACTAGTTTTATTTTGCTGTTTCTTTCGTTTTATAGTATTTTTCGTTTCTTCTGGAAGCAATAGGAAATTGCATATAGATGAGGGGACTGGGAGAAGAAGGCAGACTCCTTGTTTTTGAAAACCTCTTTTACCACAGAATAGTGAAGAACCTGAACATACAAGGTTCAGGCGTTACCCGGCATTGGCTGTCTTGTGCCTGTTCTGTTTATTTTTCCTTGCAGGTGGTTGACGCTCGATCGAGGAGGTGCTAGCGGCATCAAAATCATTACTGAGAGCAAGCTAGCCAGCTTTTCCTTGCAGGTAGCCGACGTCCTATCGAGGAGGAGCTCAGCGGCATTAGGTTGGTATCAAAGCCTTGCTTGACTTGGGAATGGCAGATCGTGGTAAAGAACCCATTACCGAAGAAGTGCGGAGTCTCGACGCACTTTGGGCAAACCAGAAAACTTTTGAGCGCCGGCTGGATGAGCTATCGGCCGAAGTGCAGAAGTTAGCTGTGGACATATTCCGTGAGTTTAATCTCATCCGTGCGAGACCACCACCGATCCAAACACCGCAAGTTGATCCCACGGGAATTCGACCTTTACGGCGTAGAGGTGCAAATACAGCAAGACCCTTCCGTCACACACAGGCAATTTTTCAGGATTTTTCAGATTCAGAGGAGGAACTGCAGTACCCGCAGGAAAACGATTTGCTCGGTTCAGACGAAGCCGATGAATTCAACCAGCAGCCGGTAGGATGCCAGAGGTATCGAAGACCCTTTCCTCCACATTTTCCGCAAGGAGAATTCAAGGCTAAGCTTGACATTCCCTATTTCGACGGTCGTATGCATATAGAAGATTATTTGGATTGGGAGAAATCGGTGGAGAACTTCTTCGATTACATGGAAGTTCCAAGAGACAAGCAAGTGCGATATGTTGCTTGTCGTTTGAAAGGTGGAGCAAGTGCCTGGTGGGCACAGATGTTACAGATGAGACAAAGGGAAGGCAAAGGGCAAGTGCGGAGCTGGAACCGCTTGAAACAGCTTTTGAGAGCCCAATTTCTGCCAACAGATTATGAGCAGATTTTATACATGAGATATCAACATTGTTGCCAAGGAACAAGGTCTGTGAGCGACTACACGGAAGAGTTTCATAGATTGTCGGCTAGAAACAATCTAAATGAATCCGCTAATCACCTAGTGGCCCGTTACATTGGGGGATTAAAGGACAGCATCCAAGACCGACTGGAATTAAATTCCGTGTGGTCGATGGCTCAAGCAGTGAATCTAGCCATGAAGGTAGAAATGCAGCAGACACGGTTAGCCAAAAATTCTTATAATCGTCGGCATTGGCAGGAAGCTAGTGTGTCCGGAAAGGGTAGCAATCCTGCTATCAAAACAGCACCGACTGTTGGCCCGTCAGCTCAGGGTCCGCCCCAGAACTTCAACTCCTCAGACCCCCGGATGCAACCAAAACCGAAAGTTATAGCCAAGGAAAATCCATACGCCAAGCCTTCTACACTCAAATGCTTCCGTTGTTTCCAACCCGGCCACAAGTCGAATGAGTGCCCACAGAGACAGCAAATTAATCTAGCCGAAGGTGAAGAGGAAGGTGACCCAGATGCTGATGATGTAAACCCAGATGGAGAGTCGGAGGATGTGCATGCAGATGAGGGTGAGTCTCTAGTCTGTGTGTTAGAAAAATTGCTCTTGGCTCCGCGTCAGACCGTTGATTCACAACGCCACTCCATTTTTAAAACCCGCTGTACAATAGGCGGTAAAGTATGCGATCTTTTGATCGACAACGGGTGCACTGAGAATGTGATCTCCAGGGCTGTAGTGCAAAGTTTACAGCTGAATACTACCAAGAATGCTCGCCCGTATAAGATAAGTTGGGTTAAGCGGGGAATGGATATTTTGGTCTCGGAATCGTGCCGGGTCACATTTTCCATAGGGAAGCAATATGTCTGTGAAGTTTTATGTGACGTCCTTGATATGGACGTCTGTCATCTGATATTGGGAAGGCCCTGTCAATTTGATGTGGGTGCAATATACGACTGTCGAACTAACGTGTATTCTTTCGAGTGGAAAGGACGTCGACTCCGGCTTCTACCCACAGTCACAGAAACAAAAACGCACTTGACCCCGCAGCCCCGTCAGTCCGCTGTTCAAATTGTTTCGGGGGCTGGCCTCCTTCACTGCTGGAAGGAGCAAGCTCCCATGTATGCATTGTTGGTAACCGAACAAAGCCAAGGCTCACCCCTTACTAAGCTGAACAGTAAGATTCACAATTTGCTGCAGCATTACCGTGAGATTGCTCCCGACAATCTGCCTGATGAGTTACCGCCACTACGGAGTATACAACATCACATTGATCTAGTACCCGGTGCTGTGTTACCAAACCTGCCTCATTACAGGTTGAATCCAAAGGAACAGCTCATTCTCCAAGAGATAATTGATGATTTGCTGAAAAGGCAATTCATACAAACCAGTTTGAGCCCCTGCGCTGTTCCGGCGTTACTTGTACCTAAAAAGGACGGGAGTTGGCGGATGTGTGTGGATAGTAGATCCATCAACAAAATCACAGTAAAATATAGATTTCCAGTTCCCCGTATTGAAGAATTGTTGGATAAGCTCACGGGGTCATCCTTTTTTTCCAAGCTCGATCTGCGAAGTGGTTACCACCAGATCCGAATTCGGCCCGGGTATGAGTGGAAAACAGCATTCAAGACACCGCAAGGGTTATATGAATGGAAAGTCATGCATTTTGGCTTGTGCAACGCACCATCCACTTTTATGAGAATGATGAATGAAATCTTGAAGCCCCATCTAGGGAAAATTTGTATCGTTTACTTTGACGATATCTTAGTTTACAGTAAATGTTGGGAGAGTCACTTGAAGCACCTCCAAACACTGTTTGATATTCTGAAGCAGCAACGCCTATTCCTCAATCTTTCCAAATGCGAACTTGCTGTCCGAGAAGTTCATTTCCTTGGATTTATCATTGATGCCACTGGCGTTCGCATGGACCCTGCGAAGGTTGCTGCTGTTCGTGACTGGCCATCTCCTACCTCGTTTTTTGAAGTAAGAAGTTTTCACGGCATGGCAAATTTTTATCGAAAATTTATTCGAGGTTTCAGTGTGTTAATGGCGCCAGTGACTGATTGTCTAAAGACAAAGGAGTTTCATTGGGGTACAGATCAGCAGAAGAGCTTTGAAGCAATCAAACAAGCACTCATCTCAGCCCCTGTGTTGTCGTTACCTGACTTCAACAAGGTTTTTACCGTGGAAACAGACGCATCCTCTGTGGGGATCGGAGCAGTTCTTTCGCAAGAAGGCAAACCTGTGGCGTTCTTTAGTGAAAAGTTAAGTGACACTAGACAGAAATGGTCCGCCTACGAGCAAGAGCTATACGCTGTCATTCGAGCCTTAAAGCAATGGGAAATTTATTTGTTGCATCAAGACTTTGTATTGTGTAGCG